ACTGAGAGTGTGACAAAGTCCAGGGCTAGGAAGATGAGTCTTGGGCATGAAAGAGTTTTCACAGTCCAATAGTAGGATTACGGTTTACCAAAGTTCTTTCATCATCATTTCATTTGATCCTCAGGAAAATAAGACCAACCAACCAACTAAACAAAACATCCTCAGAGACAGACAGGGCAGCTCTCAGTGTTGTCAGCTACATGATGAGGGAGGAGCAGTAACAAGCGTTCACTAGGTTTTCAGGAAGTTGGTGGTACTTCTCATTAGAAATTTCAACTGCAACAATAGATATCTACTATTTACATAAAGGTTCTTCAAGTCCAACCATAATATGAGTAAGCAGTTCCAGGGAACAATAGTAACTTAAAAACAGACCTCCCCAGAGTGTGTCAAGTTTCCTTCCTAAATCGTGTATTCCATTCCAATAGTACTCAAATTTGGGAAGATTTAAAAATAGACTTGGAAATAAAGGCCTTTAATTTAGATGGTTTAAAAATGGTAACAATTTATTTTACCCTCTATTTTAATCAAATTATCTAGGGTTAGTGGATCTTGTAGATGTCAGTATTAGGTCCATCTGACATTAGATCCAAAGGGACTAAATAGTCCCCAGTAGGACTCAAGAAATAGTGCTGGAAGAAATACTACTGGAGAGAAATGCACTGCTTGGGATGTTAAAATTTGGTTAAATAAAAACCTAACCTATCTCTACTGATTGCCCACATCCATTAAAGCTCATCATCAGAAGCAGCTTTTTCCTCACGAATACTAGATCCTTGATTACTGCAAAATCAGGCTCACGAAACAGGAAAGAGGGAGGTTAGAACCTTTTTGAAGATGCTTTCATATGACAAATGAAGTTCAATTTGTAAATTATAGGTTACCAATGTTCTTTCATCATTTCATTTCATCGTCAGAAATATCTCAACACAGGCAGAGCAGTTCTCATCATTTTGAAGGTCTGTGAAGTTACATTGGATTATCCACTAGCAAATGACAGAGACAGGGCAGAAATTCTAATTTGTTTTCTCTGAATAATACAGACTCACCATAATGAGATATGGCTTAGAATTTCTTTTACAAGAATAAGACTCTCCTTGTTCTCACATCACACCAGCAAGATATTTGACTTATTCATAACTGCTCACCTTATAGAGTTATAAAAAATAATGAGGGCCTGAGAGATAGCTCAAGGGCTGGGACACAGACTTTGCATGGAGGGGTCCTGAGTTTGTTCCCCAGTACTGCTTGGTCCCAAGCACCTCCAGGAGTCACTCCCAAGCACTGAGTTGGGATAAGTTTTTTAAGCACCACCAGGTTTGTGTCCTCTGACATCAAAGAATAACAAACATGACCTGCATATGCCTAACTATGTGACACCAGTAGAAAAGGGACCCGGGATGTTAGGAGATAAAGAAAGAGCCTGTTTGCTGTGAACACTTCACTCTTCTTTTTAAATATTTTCTCCAGATGGTCACTATTTCCAGGGTTGCCATAATACATTTTTTTAAACATTAAGTCAGTGGATACCTCTCAGACTTTGATGGCTCCCAGAGGAGTTTGAACTATACCACCTTGATTAAGCTCCCATCATGACCTTTGTTCCTAGAAATTCTCGTGATCATTTTCTCATAGCAAGTAGTTGATGGCAGTGAATGGACATTAATGACTAATGTCCAATCTCTTCCTTCTAGACGGTTTTCTTTCATTTTTATTTCCCCACACGCTAAGAATACAGTCATGCACAACAATCATTACAAAATTGTTTAAGCCCCACCTAAGTGATCAATCAAGATCTGATCAAGAACTGTTGGAGCAAAGAAAAGGACGGATGAACCATGACAAATTCTTGACTCCTTGTTTCCTTTCCCTCTTTCTCTATACTTCTTTTTCTTTCTCACTTCTCTTTCTCTCCACCTCTTCTCTTTTTGCTCTCTATATTCCCTATTATACTTCTCTCTTTTCCTCTTCCACCTTTTAAAATGTGACTTTGAAAGCATATTTGAATCTTAGTTTGGTCTCTTACCAACTCCTCTGTCTTGGGCAAATTCCTTATTTTCTCTGTACTTCAGATTTTTAAAAGCTGTGAGTTAGAAATACTAATCAAATCTACCTCTATGGGGTTGTAAGAGGATTCAATGGGATAATCTGTGTAAGGAATTTTGAACACTGCCTGGTACAGACAAAGTTATTATAGTGTCATTAAAATAATAATACATTATAATTTCAAATATTTAATACTTTAGAAAAGAATATGGATACAAAAAAGCTAAGTGTAACAAATAATTAGCAACATAATAAAAGTATAAATAAAACGCTGTTGAATGGATTTAAAAAAATACAAAACCCTAAATTAGCCTGGGAAACGGAATAAACCAAGCAGAGTTGATCATTTTTCCAGGTTCTATAAATACTATCCCTTGTTGCAATTAAATGAATAATGATGTCTTTAAGACATCGTTTAGATGCAATACGGAATTATATACAGGGAAAGTATTCTTGAATTCAATTCAGCAAATTGGCTGGCTCAGCAGAGGGAATTCCAGAACAGAATGAGAAAATAGAATGAATAGCCTTTAAAAGTGCCCTCTATTTCTGAAATTCTCTGATTCCATGGTCAAGATACTTGATGGAATTTCCAGACACAAAAATAAGACAATACAAAAAAATAGCATTTTTTCAAAGGGTACCTCCCTCCTCTTTACCCCCCAGTCCCCACCTCCCCACTAGTTTTTCTAAAATATGCTTTGAAACACTGGCCTTGGAAAAGAATTAACATTCACCTCATGAAGAAAGAGGAGTTATTTTTGAATGAATTGGGTCACAGAGGGAGGAACTCTATTAAACCAAGTCCTTGGGGAAATAAACTACTTACTGATTCAGTCTGTGGTCTACAATTGAGGTGTGTGTTCGGGGAGAATGGAAGCCTTTTGCTATAGCAAATTATAAGGAAATTAAAGAGAAAATGATAGGAAAAGAATAACCAAAAAAATGTTTATTAATTTTGATATGGGATGTTGGATGAGAACTACCAAAAAAAAAAAAGAAAGAAAGAAAATAAACAACAACAACCTGAATGAAATATACTACAAATAACCTTTTAAAACATTGGCTAACGTCAACTAAATGTGTTACATTTCCTAGAATACATAAAATATTTCTAACATACATAAATGTGTTTTCTAACGCATGTAAAAATCTACTTTTACATAATTCCCTTACTTATTGATATGTTAACTTGTCAAACATGTATTGATTTTGAGCCATGAGTAAGAGAGGCATAGTCCCTAAACTGGTGAAGGTTAAGTTCTAACAGTGGAAAATGCCAGAGAGCAAGAAAAGAGGGGAAAATAGGAGACTGGACAATTGAGAGTGAAAAATTAGTTTTTGAATGACTAAAAATTTACTGTACGATATAGGAATTCAAATTTCTCTCCAATTTTCCTCGACAACAAATCTGGGCATATTCTGCTGACAGTTTAGTCAAATAAAAGTAGTACTGTAGCACTGTCCTCCCATTGTTCATCGATTTGCTCGAGCGGGCCCAGTAATATCTCACAACAAATTGTGAGACTTGTTGTTGCTGTTTTTGGCATATCGACTATGTCATGGGTAGCTTGCCAGGCTTTGTCGAGTGGGTGAAATACTCTTGGTAGCTTGTCACGCTCGGCCTTGCACACGAATGACCTGGGTTTGATTCTTCCTCCCCTCTCGAAGAGCCCGGCAAATAAAATTATTGTTAAAAATAATTCTGGGTCTGAAAGATAGTACAGGGGTTATGGATATTTACCTCTTATGCAGCTGACACCAGTTTAATCCCTCACACTGCATATATTTTCCTGAACATATCCAGGAGTGATAGATGAGCACAGAACCAGGAGTAACCCCTGAGCACTGCCAGGCGTTCTCCCTCTGGGAAAAAAAATACCAAAAACCAAAACCCAAGCAAACAAGAAAATAAAATGCCATGCAAAATAATACAGAAAAAAACTCTAAAGGGGAAAATTATGAGGATATTATCCTCTTGAAAAAAAAAATCAATGTTGTGTGATTGTTCTTTCTATCTCCCATAGTGGACCTTGTGGTTCATCAACACTATAAATTATTCCCCAAATTGGGCCATGACTTTAGCATTTATAAAGGAAGTATTTTTGAAAGAGGTCATTGACTAAATAGTTCCTTTAATCAACAGTCAGAGGATTTACTCAACGGATTGGGGTTCAACTTGCTTCATGAGGACCACAATGCTACATCACTTCCTTCATCCTCATCATTCAGAAAGGGAAGAGGATCAAATACATTTTTGAAGGCAGATTTTAGGTTTATACAGTCCTTTTTCATCTTCTGTAAAGTGATTACTAGACTTAATCAAGATTCCTCTGTGTACCATTAATTAATTTTAGCTTCCTCCTTTCTAATTTTATTTTATGATTTGGAAAGGCCCAGTTTTTAAGTACCATGGACTTTATGTTTTTCTGTTCAAGCCTTGAGGGAAGCTAAATGTAAAATGTAAAAATAGGAAACTAGGAATTAAAAGTGATTAGGACAAGAAGTTTTGGTGCGACGAAATGTGGACTCAATTCTCCCCATCACAAACCGAACCAACTGGCAGTTTTTGGTTTTGATTACAGCCTTACTTGCTATTTTAATAAACATGAACCGGTATTCAAACGTTTAATATCCTGCTGCTTAACTATTTCCAAAGAACCATCCAGCTCTTTTAAACAATCTTTGTTTTAACATTTTAATTTGTTTGGCCCAGTCTTACCTTAGAAAGCTGTAGCCTCACGGTAAACTCTTTTATAAGTTGATTTCCAGAATCATAAGCAATTCACCCACCCCCCTCAGCCCCCCAACTAAGTGTTTCCTCATGTGCCCAAATTGTTGGTGCTGACAGCTTTTCTGCCTTGTTTTATCAGGTTCCCACAGTAAGTATGAAAGACAAACACAGGAATGTGTCCGGCATGGACGGGATGCACCATGACTTCAGTGATACTTACAGCTCCTCTAGGAAGCGAAGGCTGTGGAGGGGCTCTGGGGGCAGCTGACTGATGTTGTTCATACTGAGGTCTCTGGGGAGGAAAACAGACAGTGTGTGAGGAGCGCTCTATGCCACCACAAGGAAAACCAGCTGTTGACTTCGCACTTTTCCACGCAATGCAGCCAAAGGAACCCAGTCCTGGGCTTGACAAATAAATCACTGTTCTGTATCTTAAATATCCTCCTCTCTGAGCTCACTCCAACCTCACCGGCTCTCAGTCCAATGACCGAGACCCTTGCAGGAGCTTCTGTGGAATTCAGTGTGACTTAGAACCATTCGTGGGTAGGGTTGCCATTCTTCATGCTGAAAATGACGGGAGGAGGAGCGCAAAGGAAAAAAGACATAACTCAACCCTTGCCATAACTCAACTTGGTGTCTGGCTTTGAGTTCTGTGACAAAGAGAAATGTCTTCCCCATGTCACGCCGGGCGTCCGGCTTCTCTGGGACTGTAAGCACCTTGTAAAAACAAATGTTTTGATTCAAAGAAACTTAAAAAACAAAACAAGACAAAAAGCCTATTCCCTCCTTCTAACATGTTCCTTTTGCAGGTTCTCAGATTGCATTAAATAAGTGAAATGAACCATAAAACAAGGGTGTAATGTGATCCCGCTCTGTAACACACTTCCTGCTGGGCTGCACAGTAGTTCCCGGCACAGGAAACAACAAGCTACTTTGGGCAGAACTCAATCAATTTTTGTTTTAAGTGAAACTCCGTGTAATTAGATTTTATTCTGTTTTTACTTTTCTATTTCTTCACTGTCTCCTACATAATCCTTTCGCATCACTGGTATGTGCCATCTGTATCTCAGAGGCAAAAGACTGCTGGGTGATTCTTATCAACACCAGCTCAGACTTTACATAACAGGCGGCTGAAGGTTGACTGAAAAAATGACTCATTGCTCAAACTTGACTAAGGCCATTGTTATCTCAAACCGTGCACATACTTGAAATTTATCTTGAGATAAGATAATGACCTTCTTTTTATTTGTTATTATTTTTAATTGATTTCATTGATAGGTAACATCCGGTTGGATTTAGGTGTCCGCCATAATGATTTGATTTAATGCCCATATATATTGCAGAAATGTTATCATAGTACGTTTAGTTAGCCTCCATCATCACAGAGTTACACAATTATGTCCCTTAAGTGATAAGACTCCTTAAGGTTTACTCTGTGTGTGTGTGTGTGTGTGTGTGTGTGTGTGTGTGTAAGGTAACTTTCAAATATTATACAATATTGGTAATTGTAGTCACCATGCTGGAATTTACATTCCAGGATTTATTTGTCTTATAACTGGATGTTAGTATCTTTTGACCGCTTTTACTCATTATTAAGCTTTTAAAAACTTTGAGTCATTCTTGTTATTGGGGTGGTCTCACCCATTGTACTGATTCTAGTATTGGTAGGTTGGCTCTTTTATCAAATACCAATTAGTAATACTAAGAAGTGAGTGATTATTCACTCTGCCTTTAAAGGGTTATTCACATGAGAAAGACTTAGAGATTTGTGCCGTCAATGTAGTAAAACATGTTTGTTTTCTTGCATGGTTTAACTCCAAGTTTCTTAAACTGACTCCACATACTGTTATGTAACTTAAAATATTGTCTTAATATTTTGTTTAGTGAAGCAAAATAGTTTTCATTGAAAGAAATTTATAGAAATGTGTGGAGAGCGAGAAAAAAAAGCCTGCTCTAGAAGAGAAGAAGTGAAAATAGATTTCTTATGATTTACTGTTAGTAAAGTTTTAATTTGTATATCTGTATCAATTTTATATTCATCTCTATACCCAAGCTTATGTAAAAAATTCACAGGTGAAAGGTTTTATGAATTGAAAGATTATATGCAAATCAGTTTGGACCAAATATAGATCTTGTCTGTGTGCAAAAGGAAATTTACAGGACAAGGAATTTAAATATTAAGAAGGTTCATAAGTACTCCGTAGTGTTTTAATATCTATTACTCTTATTTGAGGTACCTGGAAGTGAACTGATATAAGCATTCACTTTTTATTTTTATTGAGTCACCGTGAGATATAGTCACAAAGCTTTCATGTTTGAGTTTCTGTCATATAATGATTGAACACCCATCCCTCCACCAGTGCACATTTTCCACCACCAATGTCGCCAATACCCCTCCCCTCCCCCCTCTCCCCCAACCCCTCCTCCTTCCTCTATGGCAGACAATTTACCTTTTATTCTCTCTCTACTTTTGGTCATTATGGCTTGCAATACAGATACTGAGAGGTTATCATGTTTGGTCTTTTATCTACTTTCAGCACACATCTTCCATCCTGAGCGATCCCTCCAACCTATCCCATTGACTTAGTGATTCCTTTTATATCCCAACTGCCTTCTCCCCCAGCTCATGAGGCAGGCTTTCAACCACGGAGCAATTTTCCTGGCCCTTGTCTCTGCTGTCCTTGGGTGTTAGTCTCATATTATGTTATTTTATATTCCACAAATGAGGGCAGTCATTCTATGTCTGTCCCTCTCTTTCTGACTTATTTCACTTACGAGCATTCACTTTTTTATCCTGCTTTTTGGGTCACACCCGGCGATGCACAGGGGTCCTCCTGGCTCTGCACTCAAATTGCTCCTGCAAGGGCTCAGGGGATCATATGGGATGCTGGGAATCAAACCCGGATCGGCCGCGTGCAAGGCAAACGTCCTACCTGTTGTGCTATTGCTCCAGCCTCGAGCAGTCACTTTTGAGGCACCTACTGAACCTATTCTATTGGTGGGGCGGCAAAGAGGGTGCAGGAATGATTAGAGCCCAATGCTGGGATTTGCATCCTGGTACCTCCATTCACTAGCTGCATGATCTTGGGAAAATTAACTTCATTGTACAGGCTTCCTTGTGTTTAAACAACTACATTAATCTTTTGAAACCCTATGATTAGCTGTTTCCAAATCAGAAGGGACTGACTTAACTTTCTTCTTAAGAAAGAGAGCACCTCCCTTTCCCAACAGGAATGAAAAACTTCTCTGTGCTACTGACGTTGTGGTTTTCTTTTGGAAAATGAGCTAGCATTGCTAATCCAACCCTTCACCACCTGTTTCCTGCAGAATTTAAACATTTTTATTTTTCATTTTCTTGCCCCTTCCCTTCATTGTTTGTTGTTGACTTGTTGTGATGATCGGGGCTTGTAATGGTCTCGCATCACCAGCTGGGGGGCTCAGCGTGGGTCATGCAAACATCTGGGGTGCTCGCACCTCGCTGGCTGTGCTCGCTGAGGTTTGTGCTCCTTTCGTTGTGATACTGCACACACACTGCCCAGTGCTTGCTCTCTTGGTTTAGACACAAATTAGGCTGGTGCTGCTTGTCCGAGGTTGCTATGAAATCACTGATTTCCTAATACAGGCTATTTCCTTTGATGAAGCTTTTAGTAATGCATGTATATGCCCACAGCATAGAACAACCTTTAATAACAATTTAAAGTAAAATTACCCAAAAAAAGTAGATCTTTAGGGACCAGAGCAATAGTACAATGAGTAAGTCTTGCACACAGCCGACACAGGTTGTTTCCCCTGAATCCCATATAGTTCTTGGAGCACTGCCCAGGAGTAATTACTGAGTGCAGTGCCAAGAGTAAGAACTGAGCATCACTGGGTGTGGCCACAAATAAGTAAAACAATAGATTTTAAAATAATAATTTGGACTGGAGCAATAGCACAGTGGGTAGGGCATTTGCCTTGCATGCGGTCAACCCAGGTTCGATTCCCAGCATCCCATATGGTCCCCCAAGCACCGCCAGGAGTCATTCCTAAGTGCATGAGCCAGGAATAACCCTTGTGCATTGCCCGGTGTGACCCAAAAAAGAAAAAAAATTAACTTGGTTAAGATAAAACTTAATTTTCTGCATTCACACACATTTTTGCTTTTGTTTTCTTGACCCCATCTAGCAATGCTTGAGTCTACTCCTAGTTCAGTGCTCAGATGTTCTGGTAGTGCCTGGGGAACCAGCAATGGTGGGGGCTGAACTGGAAACTCCTGTACTCATAGTGGTAGGCCAGTGGGTTGAACTACCTCCCAGCACCTACATTCACTTTTATTCTCCTGTGTGAACACATTTAGTGTTGCTGTTCAGATGCAATAGTGCCTTTCCAGTTCAGCACTCACAAACTATCCATGGATATGTATCAATTTAAAAAATGTCTCATTTACAATAGAGTCATACCTTCATAAAAATCATAAAAATTAATTACTAGAAAAGTTAGAGAACACTAGCAAATACAAACTATAAGTCTTAAGATTTTGCTATGCTTTTTCACGGAGACTATTCAACTACTATAAAAGTTTTTACAGTTTTACTCTCAAATTCTCTTCTGCTAGGGATGGGTAAAAACAGATATGACTGAGCACTTTTTGGATTAATATACCTCTTGTTGCTTTCATGCCAAGACAGGTGATGCTTCAATGACATTTAACCAGCTCAGAGACAATGGGGAGTTTCAGCTGCCATCGAGGACTTGCATTTGTGAGGGCAGGGGTATTTTATTTCCTTTTACTTAATTTTTTTGAGGGGGAGGCATCCCAGGTGGTACTCAGAAGACCCAGCTGTACTCCGGACTTCCAATGACCTCCAGAGCCACCCCCAGTGATGCTCAGATAACTATGATGCTGGGATCAAACTGAGACTGATTACATACAAGGAAAGTACCTTCACCCCTTTGTACTATTTCTCTGGTCCTTGAAGGTGCATATTTATAAAGGATACAGATGAAGCTCATGGAGAGGCCTCCAGGGCACAGGGCAGAGTTGAAGGAAAGTCCAGTCCTCCAGATCACTACCTGTGCTAGGCTTTTCTCTGAGCCTCTTACCCATTACAAAAATACCCTCATCCTGAGTCAAATTCTTAAAAAAATTTCTTTAATTTTCTATAGTAATTGATCTTTCCATAAAAAAATCATTTTATTTATTCTGAGCTATGCTCAAGGTTTCAGGGGCTATGTCTTGGAGATACTTGGCCAAAGGCAGGAAGGTTCTAAGCTAGGGTCTGAGGAAGTGGAGTTGTACCCCAGTTTTGTGGG